AAGCTCATATTCCTCGTGAACTTTATGGTTCTTGACATATAGGAGGATAAAAAGGTCCCAATCATTCTAGAGAGACCATTTTTAGCTACTGAAAAGACCATTATCAATGTCCAGAGAGGTGAACTCACCACGAGAGTCCAAGATCAAGAAGTAACATTTAGTGTCTTTAAAGTAATAAAGTATCCTGATGACTTAGATGACTACTTCAGAGTTGATATGATAAATAGTTTGATGAAAAAAGTATTTATGGTTGACCACTTACTTAAATCTTTAGAGTTTACCTTTAATGATGATGATGAAAAGGTAGGAGCTACTAAAAGTGCCAATTAGATTAAGGCTTTCAATCTTAGTTTTGGTTCTCAAGATTGGTTTAAATTTTTAGGTGCCCCATTGTCTAACAACCCAATTAAACCCTTAATAAAAGAACCACCTTATTTAGAGCTAAAACTTCTACCTAGCCATGTCAAATATGCTTATCTAAGAGAGTTTTCCATTCTACCAGTCATCATTTTCTTTGCCTTAGATAATGTTCAATAAAGTAAGTTGTTAAAGGTATTGAAAAAGTATAAGAAAGCTCTTAATTGGTCTATTGTCGACATTAAAAGAATCATTCCATCTATTTGTATGCACAATATCCTAATGGAAGTGAATTATAAGGCAACCATAGAGCACTAGCATCATTTCAATCTTGCTATGAAAAAAATGGTAAAAAACAAAATCATTAAGTGGCTTGACGCTGGTATCATCTATCACATCTTAGATAGTTCATGGGTTAGCACAGTGCAATATGTGCCTAAAAAAGATAGGATGATAATGATTTCAAATGACAATAATGAACTCATCCTTACTGGGATTGTCACTGATTAGAGATTCTGCATGGACTACTAAAAGCATAACAAAGTAATAAGGAAATATCACTTCCCACTTACTTTCATTGACTGAATGTTGGATAGGTTAGCCGTCATGAGTTCTACTACTTTTTGGATGGATATTCTAACTATAACTAAATTGCTATTGCCATAGAAGATCAAGAGAAAACTACCTTTACCTACCCTTATAGGATATTTACTTTTAAGAGGATGCTCTTCAATTTCTACAATGCTTTTATAACCATTTAATGATGTATGATAACCATCTTTTCCAATATGGTGAAAGAGTTTTTAAAAGTGTTCAAGGATGATTTTTCAGTCTTTAAGGATAGCTTTGACCTTTATTTGGCTCATTTTATTTTAGTGCTCAAAAGATATAAAGAAATCAACTTTATGCTAAATTGGGAGAAGTGCCATTTCATGGTAAAAGGTCTGGTGCCTAGTCATAAGGTCTCTTTCAAAGGAATTGAGGTAGATTAAGTAAAAATTAAAGTAATTGAAAAGCTTCCACCTTTTTTGCTTAGTTTTTAGCTAAATAAGTTTCTTTTTACTTGTAATGTGCTTAATTTGCTATTTTCTAGGAAATATTGAAGAAAAGATTGAATTTTGGTGAATCTTAAAATGCTTTGGATAATCCTAATAGATTTGGTGAATCTTGGATGGTTCTTCATGTGTTCTTATTGATTTTTAGAGTTCTTAAAAAATTTTAGAGTGCAAGTGCAATAATTTGTGCAAGATTTTAATGTCAAACCTTAAGACTTAAGAATGGTTGAATCTTGATGGAAAATTCATGAAAATCATACAAGAATGAAAAAAAATCAAGTTAAGATACATAGAGCATATTTAAATTGAATGCAAGTCCATGGTGTTTTATGTAAGCGCACATATATAGGATTACTAATAGATGACATGGTAGCAAGTCTAATCTCATTGGCCAAAATAGATGATTTGGATGCTGAGTTGGAATGATAACATGGAATTGGAATTTAAATCTATTTGAAAAGTATTAAACCAGAATTAGGGTAATCTTATTCTAAGTGGGAATTTTAAGTTTAAATATGAGAGTTTTAAATTTTAAAATTTAAATTTATTCCTATTTGAAGTAAAACTTGTGTGAGACTTTAAAGAGAAGGTGGCATATTAAGGGATTTACATTCAAAATTTTGACTTTCTTTTCTTTCAAAAGACTTCAACTCGAAGGCAAACTCTAAGAAGTCTCCAAAAGAACAAGAACTACTTCAACTTAAAGATCTCATTCTAAAAAGCTGCTTAAGGTTCAAAATAACTCAAAAACTTTTCTTTTCTCTTAAAGAACTTTAGCCGTACACCATTATTCAATTTTAAGATTTAAAGTTCAAGAAACTATTAAGAAAAGTTAAGTAGTTAAAACTTTCAAAACTTTTAATTTGCCAAAACGACTTAAAATCTTATAAGATGTTTGCCAAAAGAAGGTTGCAAGAAGCTCAAAGTTAGGACTTCGAGAGCTACTTAAGAGAGTTTAAAAGTGAACGAGTCTCTTTTTAATTCAAGAAGGCTAGCTACACAATACTCTTGTCTTGTAAGTGCTAAGTCAACCAAAACTTATCCAAAGAAAATAAAAAGAATACAAGTCAATGAGATTTATCCAAATCAATACCTAATCTAGTCAAGATTCGTTCTACATGTATTTATAGAAAGAGGATCAACTTCAGCATAACAAAGATTCATAGCTAGAAGTCCTCTTCACGTGAGAATCCAAGCTTGGCCAAACCTACTCACTTCAAGAGTTCAAGATCAAATTCTATTGGCCATTAGTCTAGGGTTCTTTATACTCTTTTTCTATAAATAGCTAATTTTAGGCATTAGGAAGAGTATGGTTGGGGTGATAGCCCATCCTCTCTAGTTACTAAGCTCTTTTTTATTGTTCTTTTACTCTTTTAAGCTTGCTTTAGTTTATGATTAGGGGAACATACCGATCTTTCTAATATTTTAGGTTTTCTTTATTGTTTTCAAAGTTCGTAAGCTTTCTTTACTTTGTTTCAATTTAATCAAGCTTCATTTCAATTTTTCAATCTAATTTAAGTTCTATTTTATTTTTATGATTAGGGGAACATACCGATCTTTCTAATTGTTTAGGTTTTCTTTATTGTTTTCAAAGTTCTTAAGCTTTCTTTACTTTGTTTCAATTTAATCAAGCTTCATTTCAATTTTTCAATTTAATTTAAGTTCTATTTTATTTTCAATTCAAAGCTTGCTTTCAATTTTAATCTTAGGTTCTAGTCATCTTAATTTTTTATTTCAATTCAAGCTTACTTTAAGTTTCAAGCGGTTTCATTGTTTACATGCTATTAGTGATTTAATTTGCTTAGGTTACTTTGATTCATGCGATTACATATTATTCTCACTCTAAATTGTTGTTTGCATACTTGATTAGTCTAAATTGAATTTGGTTTGCATGTTAATAAGTTAATTTGATTTGATTTTAAGTTAATTCTTATTAATTTGGTTAGTTTGCATGCGATTAGGGTTAATTAAAGTTTATTTTGTTTAAATGAGGTTTAATTCAGTTTAATTGAGTTAAGTTTAAGTTTGATTCTTAGTAATTGCATGTTTTAAGGTTTAATTTAATTTATTTCACTTCTGTTTGATGGGATTTAAGTTAATTTGATTTTGTTTATGTTCTTGCATGTTAGTTTAAATTTAATTTGCATGTTCTTACATTAGTTAATTTAATTCACGTGAGGCTTACTTTAATTCATCTAGTTTAATTTGGTTTTAGTTTAATTGGTCTTCTTTGGATGTTTAATTACTTACTTAGGTTGTTGCGTTAGTTTTTCATTAAATTTAGTGGTTAATTTAGTCTAAAGCATATAGTTTGCATGTTTCGGTTTTTGTTTTGATTATTTTAGGTAGTTAAGTAATAATTGCATATTATTCAATTTCTTCAAATATAAATAAAGGTGAGATAATTTCAATACCTGAATTACTCTTTTAGAATCCTTACAGGAACAATCTTTATTTACTATTTATATGACTACACTTACTGATAATCAATCACTATGTTCCAATCTTTGAAGGAAAAACTAGTCACTACTCCAATGATTGTTGCAACAGATTGGGATCTCCTATTCGAATTGATGTGTGATGCAAGTGATTATGCTGTTGGTGCCTAATTATATTATTAGATTAAGAGTGATATTTTCAACAAACTACCTTAAACTTATATAGCAAGTTTCAATATTACATTAATAATTGAAATTGGGATTCCTTGATGATGAGGAACGTGAGGTAGCCTCTTCAAGGTGTGAGTATGAATTCTCCTCCTATAACTATCATCTTTAATCAAACGCACCGTTAATTTGAGCTATAATGAACATACCTATTTGCTTTTTCCTTTTTCCTTTTTCATCCACAGAATTACTTTCTACATCCTTCTTTGATTTTTTTGGTAGAAGAAATTAAATTAAAGCCCATTTATGTTTCACTCGGTAAACTTACCCCTTAGGGCTTTATGTCAACCTTTAAAAGCAGCAATCAAAACAAAATGAAACAGGCATTGGCATGTGGCCTACATCAAATATATCTTATCCTAATGATCTTCCTGCTTGTGGGAACTTCAAATCTGACCTGTCAATTGCAAGTGGTGTATTATTCTTCCCAAAACCAACACCAACACCATCATACTCCTAATCTATTATTGACAAAACAATAACAGCACTCTACTTATATATTTGTACTTCTTCACATTTATTTTATTTTATTTTATTTATTATTTTGTGGATGGGCCGTGATGTTTCTCAGCCGGAGTCATTTCATTTTCAAACGTAGCTTAGAAAGTTCACCAAATTTGAGTTGAAGGCAAGATGGCAAAATCAGCCTCCATTCTCCGAGGGATAAAATTAGAAAAAGATAGGGATAAATAGAAAGTTACTGCATGCTTTAAAAAATACAAAGATTCTCTGATTATCAAATTCCTCATTAACATTAACCTGTTAATAGCTCACTTGAGTTGAGTGTACGCATATTCTTGTTGATTTTTCTAAATGTGATATTGTGGTTTCAAGCCTGAATACAATAGCTAAGGATTTCTTAAATCTAATAAAAATTTCTTACAATCAATCAAAATGAGAGCTTAATTAGTTGCTTTCAAGATATCATAAATAAATTCTTTCTTTGTTTATTAATTTTCAGTATACATACAATCACGATGAAATCACCCTAACCTCAAAGCCGATGAATTCAAATTAACCAACCAACTTCACAACACACTTTTTTCAACCCCTCCTCCCCACAAGACATTTTGCTGTCATTAAGCCCCAATTATTGCAAAGCTTAATTAATAAAACCAAGTGGAATTTCCACCATACTAACTTTGTACACACACCTAATTGATATCTAATTCTTCCTTTTTCATTTGTCTTTAATCTACCTTTCAATGTCCATAACTGCATATCCTTTTCCCATATGAATAAAGCTTTCGGGCTCCCCATGTTTTCTCTCCTTCTGAGATTCAACATCATCAGAATCTTCTTCAAGTTCCAGGTCTTCTTCCTTTGTCAGTGTCGAATACTGAACCTTTTCTCCATATAATTTAACCAATACCAAATAGTAAGTCATTGCAAAAATGGTGACAGCTATCAAGGTCCAGCTAAATTGAATATTTACTAGTGATTTAGCTCGGTGTAGTGCCTCATCGCTCGAGCATCTAACCACCTGGTGACCCTCTTCCGAGTGGATGAAGCAGCCTTTAGAAATTAACTGTGGAATCCAAAGCATGTACCCCATGACTATGAGCCACACACCTTGATACAAAATACTGAGAGACCTAATAAAGCTGACCATGAAGCTCTTAGGGAGCCCAATTCCCATAAGGGTGGTGGCTAAAGAAACAACTATGGCACTCTGTAGAAGCAAATGATATTGACCCTCAATCCCCATGTGATCAGCTGAATGAAGGTGGAAAAGGAGTAGCTGTTGGGCAAAGGCTACTGCTCCAAGAAACTGTGTTAGGCTATACTTAGCTTTGGGGCTAATTTTATCAAGGAGTATAGCAAAAGCTGCGTAAGTAAAGAAAGTCAGTGATATAGAAGCATGCTCAAAGTTGTGGAGATGATTTGATGGGATGGTTCCATCAGTATCAAAAGGCTGGTGCCTTTCAGGGCCAATAAAGAGTTCCATGGAGATGGAGACTGCGGAGCCTACCATGATCAGGAACAGCTCTATGTGCCGTAATTTGGATGTTGGGAACCATGGGGAAGATGCATAGGAATTTGGGTGGAGAGAATGGAGCCTGATGTGATTAAAGAGATGCCAAAAACCAAGTGCAAAGAAGGCAAAACCTGGTGCAACATGCCCCACTAAGGTACCCATCCCATGTGCTCCTATATCGGAATCCAACTCTTTTTTCTTGCTTTATTTTTTTCAAGTACTTGGAGAAAGAAAGGGAGGGAACGACAGGAAAAAAGAGGGGCGTCTCTTCAATGTTGCAGGGGAGAGAGAAAAGAAGAGGGAGAATTTGGTGAACTTGAGACAAATGGCCCGAGGAAGCCACCTTTTTAAGGGGTGCGTTGGGGTTGAATTTCAAAGGACTCTAGAGCCTTCTATTGGGGAGTTTGAAAATTTGAACTTCTGATGAGTTAAGGAATGAGATTAACACAGTTGACCAATATATGTATATTTATATAATCAAGCTGTTTGCCTAGAAATCAGCCATTGTCAGCAGCACCCCTGTTTTCTAGAATATAAAATTTTCGTAATAAAATCTGAATTAAATGACAAATGAACCCACTCTTCCTCTCTCTTTGGTTTTGTGAAATACTCATCAAATAATATTAATTTTGTTAGTGGCATGTGTTCCACACCTGGCTCATTTATCAAACTTAGACTTAATTTAGCATAGCAATTCAAAGTAGTTTTGCATTTAAAAAGTGTTTTTATTTTATCACAATATTAAACAATAAAAAATATAGCTTTTTAGTTTAAAAATATAATTTGCAAAGTCAAATAAAAAGTTCCTCAAAGATGTTTTTACCGCGTTTGAAATAAAAAAGCACTAAATTATTATATTTTATTGTTTTATACATTTTTTAAACATTTAAATTATTTTGTATCAAATTTTTTAAGTGTATTTTTTTCAACCACAACAATATTAAACTAACCCTTACACGTTACAAAAGAAAAGTAAAGATTTACTATTGCTATTTAGACTGCTTACTCATCTATGCCTTGTGAGACTTCATATGAATTTTAATTTTTAGCTGTTGATTAATCACATAATATACATGTTATTATTCATCATCATATTGCTATATATTCTATAAAAATTATATTAACTGAGCTCAAAATCAACTTTCGGACTTGAAACTTAAATTTATTTTATACTCCTTTTGATGTATAGGAAGGAAGAAAAGAAAAAAAATAATTTAATGGTTGAACTATAAAGTAAAATAAAATAAATTGTCATCAATTTCAATCATTAAATCAAAAAAATTTTCATTTTCTTATTAAACATAAAATTGTTGCGGGACATTACAAGTTTAATTAAATGGCCACTAATTTAAGTATGTTTGTATATTTTAATTCTATCAATTCATATATTCATATCATTTAAAAAATAAATAATTCATGTATTCGTTCGACATAATAAATATGAAATATATTTTTTATTTTTATTAAATTTACTTTGATAAATTTTTAAGCTGTATTATTTTATTTTTTATATTATATCATTATATTATATTTTAAATTATTAGATCTTTGAGAATAAATTATTTTTTATGTTTAATCCAAATAATGATCATAGGAAACGAGGGAAGTATTGAAAAAGGAACATACCATAGTCAAGTCAATTTATATGCTTATCCATTAGGCCTTAATTCGCTAGGATTGCCTTACTCCATACGCTTCAATTTTTCACCTAAATCATTAAATAAATTCTTCTACTAACCGAAAGAAGGTCTTTTGGGGGCACAACCAACCAAAGAACTCGGATTTTGGTTTTGGTGCATTAGGAAACTAATAACGCTTGCACTACTTTTGCACTGCTAAATATTGGATGCCCAAGGAATTAAGAAATCTTTATGCTGTGCCGTTAATACAGAGAGAATAGACCATATATATGGAATTCTACAGATTTTAGTTTTAATAATTTGTCATTGTTCTTACTCTTCTATGTTCAAAAAAGGGAAATCTTAACAACAACTTATTTCATTTTATTTTCACTTTTGCAAAAGTAAAAGGTAAAAGTTTATAAAATCGACCAAAATTCATTTGATTATTAATGTTAATTATTTTTATTTTTAATTATAATCCAAAGTTGTTTTTATATACTTATATGTAATTTTCTTAATTTCACAACAAGAATAAACAATTGTCACGTATTATTTTTTAATTAATTTTTTATTTTTAATATATGTTAATGTTTGGTATGAGGTGATTAATTCAAAAATTATAATAATTTATACATAGTAATTGAATCATTATATTTAATAAATACTTAGTGATTCTACGTAATAGTGATCTTAGATCAGTGAGAGTAATCAAATTATTGTCTTTGTGAAAAATCTAATTTTCATCCAAAAAGATAAAAACCTTTTTATCGCTAAAGTGAACTAAAATGTAAAATTAGTAATAATCAATATTACCTATTTAATGTGTAAATTAAAATTTTGAATCCTCTTAAAATTGTAATTATTTTATATTATAAATTTTTATATTTTCAAACTAATATTCATTATAACAAGTTTAAAAATAATATGTATTTTTTTTTATTTTTTCTAATGTTTTACATATAATAAAATGTTTTTGTTTTTTACTATAATTTTAATAGATTAGTTTTATTTTCTAATTCAAATATTTTTTACATAATTTATATTATAAAAATTAGTTTACTTAATAAAAAATATATAGTTAATAATTTAATTATATTTATTATAAAATAAATAAAATATTACTATGTTTTATGAATTATTATTTTTAAACAATATCTAAATCATTAACTTGTATAATTATGACAATAAAGATGGTTATTTCATACTTTTAAATAAAATAATATTTGATTTTTAATAATACCAAACAAATGATCCTTTATTTGTATGAATTAATAGTTATTAACAAAATAAAAAAATTTCATATCATCAATGATAAAATCACTTTGATAATAAAATCATTTCAATAATTACATTATTATGATAACCTTAAAAATATTATCAAACGTTATCTAAGAAATATGTATCATTTTACAAAATTTATTTATGAAATTTGAAACTCTACTGGCAACTAATGAAATAGATAAATATGACAACTAAATTATAAACCAATATTTACGTAAAGGAAACTTCTTTAGCTTCCTATTTCAAATATGAAAATGACAATTTTGAAATACGATTATTTCAGTGGGTAACTTTATCGCTCTGATTGCGATGGCAACGGCGTCTAAGAATTTGAAAATAACCTTATTTATTAAGTATTTGTTTATTTTTAGTTTTCCGTATAATCTAAGTTGCCCTCTAGCATGATCAAATTCATATGCGAAAAAGAACAACGAATCATGGAGTTCTAATTAAATATTATATATATATATATAGCCTAATGGTTTCTTTTGCTGCTCGTAATCATCTTATAAGCAAAATGGGACTTTGCTCATTTGAATAATACAGTAATAATATTGAATTACATCGAATTGATTCCAATGTGGGGTTGTGCCTGTATTTTCGTCTGCTTGCACGCAATTTCCTTCGCTAACCGCAACCTTCGTACAATTCTTCGGCACTGGAAACGTCATCGTTCAAATTAAAAACGTAAGACAAAGGCTAACAGCCTAAAATCTCTTTATATAAGAATTGGATAAACAATTAATGATTATATGCCACATTGATTTTGGAGTAACTACATCATTATTTTTTAGGGTGATTTAATTTTTATTTTAAAATATGAGAATATTTTATTATCGATATAAAATGATATATAAAATTAATTATAATTAATATTATTTAATTATTATATGAATTAAAATTTCATTTTTTAAAAAAGTTTAATTATTTTATATTATAATTTTATCTATTTTCAAATTAATATTTATTGTAATAAGTTTAAAAATAATATATGTGCTTGCCTTTAATTTTTGTAATATTTTATATATAAAATATAATCTTTTTTTTTTGTTTTATGATTTTACTATATTAGTTTTAATTTTTAATTTAAATATTTTTTACATAATTTATATTATAAAAATTAGCTTAACTAACAATAAATATATAGGTTAATTTAATAATTTAATTATACTTTATTATAAAATAAATAAAATTATAATAATAATTTTAAATTATTATCTTTAAATAATATTGAAATTATTAACTTATATAACTATTATGATATATATATATATAGTTATTTTTATACTTTCAAATAAAATAATGTTTGATTTTTTAATAATGCCAAATATAATGATTTTTAATTCATAAGAATTAATAATTGTTAACCAAATAAAGCAAATCTAAACCACGAGTTATAAGATCACTTTAGTGATAAGATCACCTTGGTGATTAAATTACCATGATTATCTTAAAAATTATACAAAATAGTAAAAGAGTTTTTGGTATGGTGTGATTAGTTTATAAGCCATGATGATATATACTTAGTAATTACATCATCCTATTTAGTAACAATTTAAGAAATTTATGTGACAATAATTTTAAATCACTAAGGTAATAAAATCATTGTCTTGAGGAATAATTTGATTTTCATTTAAAAAGATGGAAAAAATTTATTATTGTGATAAATTAATCTTCAATATTATGATTAATTTATCCTAATGATAACGAGAATGAACACAAAATTCACTCTAAATTTACTCTTTATACGTAAACTATCATTATGGAGAAATTAATTATTCTCTCCAATTTCTACTCGGTTTGATTGATGCCTTTTAGTACATATGATTACGATTAACAAAACGTTATGAGTTCTTCTATAAAATTGAAATTATAACATGGAGTCATCTTTTAGGTATATTTGATTAAATTTTTTTAATTTGAAAAAAAGAAAGATTTATTATATTATATTTGTTAATGAAAGTTTAATTAAATTATTTTTTTAATGAAATTTGAACTTTTTAATGAATTAAATAGTCAAGTTTTAGTTCAGTCGCTTAATTTATTTTATAACTTACATGAATTTTTTTGAAATTACTAGATGATGAATTTATTTAATAATATTTTTTAAAATTATTTTCATCAAAATTAGTTAATACTTTATTTTTTTTTTAATAAAATGCCATATTATTTTATAAATTGTTCATTCAATAAATCTTAGTTGTTTTTTTTTAAAAGATTATATTAGATATTTTGTATTTAATAATTTGTTTTTTCATGTAATACAAAGTATAGTGATTTAAGATCACAAGTTATTTATAATATTACATCAAACATATTAGTTTAAGATTACTAGTGAGATAAAATTACTTTGGTGATGTTATCACCACGATAATTATATCACAATTATTAAATTTTGCACACTAAACTGGAGTTGTTTCTTAAAATGTTTAAATTGAAGCTCAATCTAATTATCTAATGAATGAATTGAATTCCAACATTCACCAAGCCAAACTAGTTAGAATAACTAAACTTATTTACCCTTTTAATAAAGGCACGCATCATAAT